TAGTTTTATGCTTGGTATTAAATTTCTTTGTTGAAATTTTTTAAATGTGAGTAATTATTTGTTATTTACTAATAATTTCGAGTTAAAAATGTATAATTTTTTTTTAATAAAAAATGAAAAATGTTTATGGTAGGGTGTCCAAAGAGTGTAACACTGACACGCTGCCCTAATTGAAGTGTTCGTGGTGCTATGTAGTTACATACATTGATGTTGGGAGGATAAGCAGTACTAGAAATTATAATAGAGAAGAGAAAAGTTGTTAAAATATATTTAATTATCATACAGTCCAATTCAATATAGTACTCTATATCAAATATGCTGCTTATGTTAATTTCTTGAAAATTATGTGAGCTTTGGCTCATCGTATACATGTCGTGGTTTTTGGTTTTGCAGGTATTTAGGTACGTAGATTGATCAGTGCATCTGGTCAAAACCATCTATCGGCGCGCATGAGGGGATATTGAATCTCTAATTTATTTCTAGCCTTTTCCTTCCCGAATTAATCCATCCTTGATCATTTCCGTTTGCTAAATAATATTTGATTCTGTGAAATATTTGATGTATGTGGATCAATGGTAAGAGACAAGAAATCAAAGATTTTCTTTTCGTGGATTATGTTAATTATTCTGATTTTACTCGTAGGTTTTCTTTTAAAACCAAACCACCTATATAGAATTAATACTAAAATATAAACTTAATAAACTTTGGTGGGGACATAAAATCTCACCCACTGAACGAAAGAAAATTGATATCTTCACCTATAGATTGGAAAACAAAAATATATTCGACATTAAATTTTGCGATAGTGCTCCTTGTAGGGACGGTAAAAAAAGGGAAAAATGCACAATTCAGGTGTATGGTTTACACCAATTCAAAAGACAAGTATATAGTATAAAAATTCAAAATTCAGGTATTTGGTAATTAATTAAATATAACTAGGTCACAATTTTATTCATAAGTCACAGATATTCAAATTAATTGGTTACAATTTATTCTTCGATCACATATTTCAAAATTAATTGGTCACAGATTATTTAATGGTCACATATCAAAAAAATTGTAGGTCACATGGTCATATATTTTTAAATTAATTGGTCACATTGTTAACCCAAGAATAACTAAC